TCGTCAGGAGTTGAGTTGAGAGTCTCATGGCTTGCCTGGAAATCTTCCGTTCAGCACTCGCTCAAACCACCGCAGCAAAGAGTTCGAGACCCGAAACCAACCATGTCTGGCCGGGATTGCAACGGAGCGTCCATATGAGTTTCGCAAGCAAAAATAGTGGTTAACCACTATGCACGTTTGGCGGCAGGAGCTGGGCTTGCAAAGTTGGGGAGCTCAGTAGCCAAAACTTCGACTGGAGGCTGATATTAGAAGCTGTCGACTTTCGGCGCTAAAGGTTCTTTCCGACCGATTATGTCAGCGAGGCTTTTGTGGCTGTGCTTTTGCGTTGCGCCCAGTATGGAGCGCGAAGCGATTGAGGACGAACGCTCTCCACTTTCTTTTTTCTTTTTCTCTTTGCTCGCTTGTTTCTCCAGTAATATTAGAGTGATGAGCATTCACGAGGACACGCCGACAGCAATGGACGTCGACGTCAAGGCAAAGAAGGCCGACAAGAAGGACAAGAAGGACAAGAAGTCCAAGAAGAAGCGGCCAAGAGAGGACGAGGCAACTACAGTAGCCCCGTCGACAGCAGTTGAAAGTCCTGCAGCCGAGGCACCGAAAGCCAAGAAGAGCAAAAAGGAAAAGAAAGCGAAGGCGGAGGTGGAAGTGTCGGATACTGCGGTGGTCGAGAAGGTGGACAAAAAGGCCGCGAAGAAGGCAGCAAAGGCCGCCGCCAAGCCGTCAGCACCAAAGGACGAGTGGTCCTACTCCCAGGACGCCGAACTCACGGCGCTTCCGCAATCTACCGTTGACGCGTTCTATAAGACCAACGAGGTTGAGGTCACGGGCGATTCTCAGCGCCCTATCCTCAAATTTGCCCAGGCTGGGCTTCCTGACGACATTGCCAAAGCGCTCAATGCGTTCCCCGCCCCCACCATCATTCAGTCCTCATGCTGGCCTGCTATTCTCAGCGGCCGCGACATGGTTGGAATTGCGGCCACTGGGTCTGGCAAGACTCTTGCTTTTGGTATCCCGGCGTTGCTCCATATTCGCAACCGCGCGGCACGCGGACAAATCAAGAAGGGCAAGCCGCAGGTTCTTGTTCTCTCACCGACCCGCGAGCTCGCGATGCAGATTCAGGAGCAGTTCGAGAAATTTGCGTCGTCTAAGCAGAGCACTTCGGTGTGCTTGTATGGCGGTGTCAGCAAATGGGATCAGAAGAAACTGCTCCGCGCCAATCCCAACGTAATCGTCGCTACACCCGGCCGTCTGCTTGATCTGGTCGAGGAGGACAATGCCGAATGCGATTTGTCGGACGTGTCTTACTTTGTTCTTGACGAGGCCGACCGTATGCTTGACCTTGGGTTCGAGGTGGCGATCAAGAAGATCATCACCCACCTTACATATCCACAGCAGCGTCAAACCGTCATGTTCTCTGCAACGTGGCCGCAAGCAATCCAAAAGATTGCGAATCAGTATCTTATCAACGCGGTCAAGGTCACAGTCGGATCGACAGACTTGTCGGCCAACAAGTCGATTGAACAGCGCGTGGAGGTGATTGACCCCTACGCCAAGGAATCGCGGTTGCTCGAGCTTTTGAAGTTGTACCACAAGTCAAGGACCAATCGGATCCTTATCTTCGCGCTGTACAAGAAGGAGGCGGCCCGGCTTGAGCAGTTCCTCCAGCGTAACGGTTTTACGGTTGCTGCAATTCATGGCGACTTGACTCAGCAGCAGCGTACTGCTGCCCTTGACGGTTTCCGCAGCGGAAAGATTCCATTACTTGTCGCCACGGATGTTGCGGTGAGCGTTGATTTGCTAATTTTCAAGACAGGTCATCACAGTTCATTTCGCTCACCATCTCTATTTCATTCCAGGCACGTGGCATCGACATTCCGGACGTAGACTTTGTTATAAACCAGACTTTCCCGTTGACCGTAGAGGACTACTGCCACCGCATTGGTCGGACTGGTCGGGCCGGCGCGACCGGTATCTCGCACACCCTGTTTACCGTTCACGATAAGGCGCATTCCGGCGCTTTAATCAATGTCCTGAAACAGGCGGGCCAAATCGTGCCGCCCGAATTGCTGAAGTTTGGAACTACTGGTATGTTGCTGATTTTTCCAAAGTTGTCTTTTTCGCATTGTATGCTCATATCGCCCCGTATTTTCAATTGCAGTCAAGAAGAAGGTTGACCCGAACTACGGAGCGTTCGCAAAGGACGTTGACATGTCAAAGAAGGGCACTAAGATTAAGTTTGCGGCCGATAGTGACAGCGATTAGAATAAATCCCTTTTTGTAATATAGTGAACCTTTTCGCAAAATATTTATCCATTTCATAAGCCCTCGAAATGAGCTTTCGCGAGGATGGCAGCAGACTTCAGAAGGTCCGCTGTGCATGTATGTGAGCTATGGTGTTGGGATACAGATTATATATAATTTACATTCGTTCCGGGCATCCCAGGTCCTTTACGCTTTCACCCTTCATGCTGGCAAGCGCACACGCACAGGCGTAGCGTGTGCGGCGTACATGAAATTCCTCCTTTCACGAACCAACTTGAGTGGTCGGCCATGTAGCCACGTGTTTGAAGTTCGAACACCGTGAAACCGCTTTTGGAGCTGATCCTTGCTGATAAACTCTCAGTCTTTCTCCCACCATCCACATTATTCGGGCAAAATCAGCTCCTCGACGCTCCAATCCTCCCAACTCCCGTCTGGCATGTACCGCCTGACCATCAGCGGAACTTTTTGCTCACGTAGTTCCTTCATTGCAATCTGCAGCGGGTCGCTCTCCCCGTGCAAGTCCACCATGACTGGCGCATTCATGCTGATCTGCAGCGCGCGCGTGCCGAGGATTCGTGCCTTTTCGTACTTTGTCATGTACGGTGTTGTGAGGCGCTTGTCCTTAGGGATAGGGCCGGGTCCGCCCTTTGCCGACGCTGCCGGTGCTGGCACGCCATCAAACCCGTTTGCCTGTTGGATGCAAACAGCCGAAAAGCTTAGTATAAGCCGGCTTGCCAACATATATATCTCGCCGCTGCTTTGCTATCCCTCCTGCGCCCCTGCAGCGTCTCCTCAAACGTACGTCTTCAAGAGCGACGACGTCTGACCGCAAGCCGCCTGCAGCGGGGTCAAGGTCAAACTCGAGCGGCTCGTCGTAGTCGTCAACGGGCTGGTCATCCCAGTCGTCTGCGGCCCCGGCGCCGGCGTCGCTGCCTCCATAGTCGGACATCTGGTGCAGGAAAGGGGGAGAGGGATGTCTCGAAGGCAAAGCCGAAATGGGCAAGCAAAAGGGAGAGCGTGAGGGTGATGCTTGATATAGCATCCATTTGAGGTGGAAGACCACGGCGCTGGCCCCAATGCCCCCACCGAGTTTCTCTCGTCATGGCTCCTCTGGAGAAGACACAGATAATGCTGGATCCTCTCGTCGCCGCTCCGCTAGAGAAGACCAAGCCCCCACCGCCTCCTCTCTCCGTCGCTTTTCTAGAGAAGCTGAATCTCCTCGCCTTGAAAAGACGATGACGACGCTTCCTCTGACACAGGCTCCTGAAAAGATAGAGATGACGCCGCCTCTTTGCTTCGGTATTCCTCTGGAGAAGAGGACGAAGAACCCGTGGACCGCGCCAGATCCCACCTCAAAGCCTCTAAGGTCTATGGCTTTGCTTTGCGAACTCGGATTTGGAGGATTATGACTTGTCTGTCGTTTCCCTCGGATGCTGTAGCGGCGCGGAATGGGTGGTGCCACGATACCCTTGACGGCATTGTGGGGAGTATGGGAATGTCGACCTTATGAAGATTTTGCAGAAACTATTCCGCAAACAGAAACGTTTTGCTAAGCAAAATCTGCTGCTTCTTGCTGCCCTTGACGGCATTGTAGGGAGTATGTGGATGTAAACAGAAACGTTTTGCTAAGCAACATCTGCTGCTTTTGTGACATGAGCCAATCCTGCCTACATTGACCTTATATCGAGCTCCCATTACTGCCTACTTTGACCTTATTTCGGGCTCCAATTGGAACTCTTATTAAATGTCAATTTCCATCCCTTCGCGCTCTGCCTATTCTGGTAGAGGAGGGCAACCGGGGCGCATCACCAGCCCTAGGTTGGTTTCAAGCTTGCTGTGTGCTTCACAATTTGCTTCTGGAAGATGGTTATGAGGAGGAATGGGGTCGCGATCAAGGACCCGCGCAAGTGAACGAAAATGGAGGACAGGATGCTGACAATCAAGATGTTGAAGATGTACGTGGGCATAAACTTTTAACACGACTCGGAGCCATACGGAGACAGGAAGTCAGAGACTACGTGCTGTATCATGCGGATGAAATGGATCAGATTTGATCCACAGGATCATTCATCCACGGGATTATGTGGATGATCCACGGGATCATATGTAAGTGGTATTTCTTTTGTTTTTATTCGACAACAAAATCGCTATCTTCCTCTCCTTCCTCCTCTGACCTTTCCTCGTCGTCTAGCGTATCCCCTTGGCCTTCGCTCGACGTCGTTCCTTCTTGCGACCATGTTGCATCGAGCTCTTCTTCTTCCTCCTCCTCCCTCTCCTTACGCCTTTTCCTCGCCTCTACACCCTTCAGCGCGGCACCTACGCACTTTGACGCCGACTGCAGTTGTTCCTGCAGTCGGCGCAGGTTCGCAATGGTGAGCTCATCATCGCCGTCGCCATCGCCGCCCATTTGCACAGTCGAACAGCGCAGCACCCGAGGCGGAGAGGTAGAATACTTCGTGAAATGGGCAGGGTACGCAGATAGCGAGGGGACGTGGGAGACGGAGGAGAACCTACACGGCACCGATGTACTCGCAACCTGGCACGCACTGCCTGCGGAAGAACGGACAGTACGGGGCTTGCGGGCGAGGGGTGCGGCCCAAAACAGCCGCCGTAGGGCACGGGCACGCAAGTAGCCAGACATAGAGATATACGATAAAGGGCTTCATCGTGCCTGCTATTCGAACTATTTACACAACAAACACTGTTCTTTTTCCTGCAACTCGCGAGGTCCGTGACCCTGTGGCAATGCGGGATTCGAACCCGCAACCTCCCGATCTTTAATCGGGCGCGCTACCCTTGTGCCAATTGCCGATCACCATACCTCAATGTGCACACCCCAACTTGTGGCCCTGCGTACATTCGTATCCGGCATGAGGACGAGGCCCGTTTCCAAGCTCAGCATGGCTTCCGGTTGCTGCAGACGGTTCGGGCGTTCCCTCGCGGAGGTCAATCCCTTCGAAGGTGACGAGGGCTCCCATGCATCGTCGGCTGCTAGATGGTTGTGCCGGGATGCTATATTCCCGGATAACGGCGATCGTAGTTGAGGGTGATAGGGGGTTGTTGTCGGAAGCGACGATGGCCTGCTGGGGGCTCACTATTATGAAGATCACCCGCCTCGGGAGGAGGCAATTCTTTCCTTTTAGTTCTTCGGAGCCATTAGGAAGCAAGGGCACCCCCGAGAGCCTCACCTACGATAGCTACCTGGTTGATCACCACACCTCAATGTGAATACCCCAGCTTGTCGCCCTCCGCACATTCGTATCCGGCAAAAGCACGAGACCCCGACGGGCTCGCATGATCCCAAGCTTGCGCTTCTTGCCCTCGTCCTGCTTGACAACCTCGCGGGACCAATTGAGCCCGCACGAATTGCGGAGAGTTTTAGGACCCGCAGGTCCGGCCCTGAACATGCAGAAGGGGACTGCAGTTGGTCCTGCAGTTTGCGAAGGTTTGCGATGCTGAGCTCATCGTCGTCATCTCCGCCGCCCATACGCATCAAGGCGGTGGCAGCTCCAGCAAGTCTTTGTCGTATTCTTCTGAACACACACACAAACACCACCGGCGATCCCACCCTTCCTGTTACTTAACCCCGCGCCTGTTTGGCTCTATAAAGCAACCCGCGATAACTTCTCCTTGTGGAGCATGTTTGACGGGCGCGGGGTTGACTTCTTCTGGTGGAGTATCAGGAATGGTGGGATCGCCGGTGGTGTGCGTGTGATCCGTGGGTCCCTTATGAAGCAACTCGCGAGCCACTTTGCCTTCTCGCCGTCGCCTTCACCATCATCAGGCTCCAGATTCCACGTGGGGATGCCTGCAGATATTCGGCCAAGACCATATCCGCGAACCCAGCTCAGCGGCCGAGTCTGCGTGCTTGCTGAACTTGGTTTCTGGAGACGCCCTGCTCAAATTTCTCCGACCACACACGGCCGTCTGGCCTTTTGCCGCAGGCCTTAGGGCGATAACTTGCACGCTGGTCCTTCGAGCTTGCGCTTGATCCATCGGCCCTGTGCACTAGTATCAGTTTTGACAGCTTGAATGCAGCTGTCAGCCTACTATGAAAGGCGCATCCGGCGCGCAAGTACCATCGCACTATCAGCTCTTGGCTGTCACAAATCTCAGTAAAAAGGGAATGCAGGACTGCGTGTACTTCAGAATCCTCGTCGGTCCCTTCGCTCGATCGCTTTTTGGTGCTGGCAAATGATATCAACCATCATCTCGTCAAGCCAGAGCCGAATCCCTGCCTCAACCTTGGTCAGCTCATCTTCATCTGTCATCAGCAGGCGCTTGACCTGGAGGGAAGTTCCCGCCAGGGGAGTAAAGTGGGCCTCATGCTGCCCAAGGCGCTGTCCAACGTCTTCAGTCGCGGAACACAGACTGAGACGTGGATGGATGCAGCGCACCGGGAACTCGTCGGGACTCGGCCGTTATGGGTTGGAGAAAAGCATGGCGAGGGCGGAAGAGTAGACGAGGGCGGAAGAGTTGGCGAGAGCATGATGCAATGGGGGGGCGGAGAGAGGGGAAGGGGCAGCGTGCCTTATATATATACCGGGCGAAGCGAGGGGCAGTGCAGCGCGGTCTTCAAGTTGTCGCGCTCACTGGCACGCGTGCTGCTGCCTCTGACGAACTCAACAGTTCAAGATGGCCGCCGCGTCCGACGAGAGCGCTGCTCGCTTCTGCTTCCTAGTCGATTGGTACGATGTTCACGCTGATCTTTCACGCTCATATCAGCTGCTATACTTTCCGGCGGACCAAACGATTGAAATGGTGCGGTGGTCGGAGGGTTCCCGCTTCAAGAGAATGCGTGAAAGGGGCTGACGGAGAACCATTCATTTCCGCTAATAGTACGATGTCAAACAACGACGATCGTTCCTAAAGCGCACGCGGGTGAATTTGCGGTTACAAGACATGTATATCGGTGCGGCAATCAATGTGAACTCGCGGCAGCTCGTCATCAGAGCGTTTGGCGACGAGTATACACACAACGAGCTACAACATCAGATGGAAAGGTGTCATACTGCGAATGTTCTCTGGCGCTGGAAGCAAAGGGATGGCATGTGATCAAGCTGATTGTTGAACGCCTTTTCAGGACCCTAATGGTTGTCAAACCGACAGCTTTTGGAAAGGTGGGAACGATTCTGGACAGCGTCCAGAAGCAAGGCTTTACGCTTTGCAGGTTGCGGATGCTCGAATTATCGCAACATCTGGCGCAAGGTGTTGGCAGCTTTGAGCAGGGTGGCGCAAGGTACATTTTAATGGCGGCGGCTCTCAGCTTGACCGATTGCCAGTTTGCTGACCGGTTTGGGATGCGCACTACGATGTTTTTACAGCGATATTGCAGGCGGTCGGATTTTGGCTGCTGAGCTGATGAAGCCTAGCGCTATATCCGATCTCCACCGGTTCATCTCCTCCTCCTCCTCCTCTTCGGGCAAAAGCGAAGTCTACGCCCCAACATCAGCGCAATCGGTGCGCCAAGGGCTTGCCGAAATCTTTGACGAGCCAGCCTATTCGCGCATTCCTCGCACCGCGGTGTTTGAAAACTCGACGCTGGCGTTGATCAGGCCACATGCGGTTAGCGCTGGGCTGGTGGGACAGATTTACGCCGACATCACGCAGGCGGGATTCGAAGTCACGGATATGGAACTTTTTCGATTGGAGAAGGCAGATGCGGAGGAGTTTCTGGAGATTTACAAGGGCGTCGTGCCGGAATACCATGGGATGCTTGACCACCTCACGTCGGGTCCGGTTGTTGCCATGTAAAGTCACCGATAGGCGCGCAGATGACTTGGTTTACTCTAGTGGCCGGCGCTTATGTGCAGCAATTTGTTTCATTGTCTCATAGGGAAATTACCGGCAAACCTGACATTGTCGACTCATTCCGTAATTTCTGCGGCCCAGCGGTATGCAAAAAGTTATGCGGAAACGAAAAAAAAGAGCCAAAACCGTGGTTGAAAATGGCTAACGCTGAATTGACCGCATAGGACCCCGAACTTGCTCGAGTCTTGTACCCGCAATCTCTGCGCGCAAAGTTTGGAGCTGACAAGGTGCAAAATGCGATACACGCTACTGACCTTGCCGAGGATGGACCGTTGGAAGTAAGCACTACACTTTCGTCATATGATGCCAGCAAATCTGCAGTTCTAAATGTGGTTTTATGCAGGTCAAGTACTTCTTCAAGATTTTAGGGACCTGAAGACCTCCCGGGTCTTTTGGTGATTTTTTGGACGAAACGTTGCGTTAATACATGTTATCACTGTTAGAAAAACTCGCGCAATGCATCGGCGGGGAAAACTGGTCATCCGGAGTGATGTTGATATGATATTTTTATTGTCGGCCGGCGGCGTTTTGCTATTTTATATTTACTCCATCCACCACCTCTTCTCCCTAACAAACTCAAACGAGCCAAGATCTTTCTTTTCCACAATGCCAAGCTCCGTCAACAACGGCTGGAGCTCCTTTACGTATTGCTGATATTGCTTGTCGTTGTGAGCTTTGGACTGAAGAGCCTCAAGAGTCCTGACGGCGGTGGCAAAGGAGTTTTGAGCGCGGGCGGCACGCAAGGCGTCGCCGATAACCTCGACGGAGGGCACCCAGTCGGTGGCAAAGATGTGGTTGAGGCCGCGCTCGAGCTCAAAGTCGTCCTCGAGGGTCTGGAAGTGCTTGCGCCAGAAACTCACGTACTTGTCGTAGTCGTTCTTTTCGTTGGGGTCCAGGTCGTGTGCCGTGGGGTAAGCCGAGATTGTTGGGTCGAGACTGCTGTGGCCCGATGGACCGGTGGAGGATGTTGCGGCGGCAGCAGACATGGCGCGGAGGGCGGTGGGCCGGGCTGATAGAAAGGAAAACTCTATGAGTATTGAGAAAAAAGTCCCGCAAATAGCTGTCTGCTTCCAGCGTCCGGCCGACCGGCGGAGTGAGCGGACCCGACGGTCAGTAATGGCCCGCAATTGGCTAACACAGCACCCTCGTAAAAACGGTGATGCCAGTAGCCCGCAGACAGGAGATCCCGACCAGCTACTCAGCGCAGCGCTCTGGTTTTTTCGTCTCCTTTCATAGCGCAGGATGGCTCCGCTTGCGCTTTGCCCGGGGTGGCCATGTTAACATACCGAGAGGCGAGAACGCAACAGCGCGGGCGGCGATGGGTGCCAGACGGAAGAGGCGGCTCATTGTTCAAGTGGTAATTAATGAGTATGTATAGTGTAAATGTAATTTGACGAACGACGATGCTTAGTCCCGGACGAGAGCAGGAAGGGGCCGTTCTCTTCGGCAAACCTCGGCAACCCTTCAGAAGTGGCATCCATCGGCGGGTCACGTGATGCATATCTCTCAGGCTCAAATAATGGAGTCTGCACTTTCCCTCACTTGTCTTTGCACAGAATGGACATCTATACTGCCGAGTACGGCGGATCTTGCGGTGACGGGTAGATAAGGAACCTTTGAAACATCGTCGTTGAGGGGAGGAACCAAGGAAAAAAATTGTAACCTTCATGGACAAGATATATTTCGACAGAGTTGCTCGAACCACAATTCCCCTCTTGCCAGATTGCACCACCTCGTCCTCCCGTGGGTCTAGTATCTGGCATGAGTGTGAGCTCGATCTCCACAAAAATGGGTGGGCCCGCTCTTAACTCGCTGAATTTGGCACAGGCAAACGGTATTGGTACAGGAGGTATGGGGTGACCGCTGGCGGCCGTTATGGTAAGGGTATATTGAAACGTTGCGGTGCAACAGAGGTCAGCTACTCTTCGTCCGATGTTTCGTGCTTCTCGTACGCTCAAGGAAACGATGCTCTTCGTGAAGCAGTCATCAAGGCGCAGAT